TATATATTATCTATACATAGAAAACACCCAGACCGTTACAAACAATTTAATAATAAGTTAATAGTTTAATAAGTACGTACGTAATATTATCACATGGTAACAGCACGTATTATGGCAAAAATAAACATCGGCTGATTTGAAAAGATTTATTATAGTAATAATAGTAATCTCAGGACAATTCACACAGCTTCATCTAGACCCAAGTTAAGCTAGCTGAAGATTATGTTATGGGTACTGATATAAATACAAAGATTTTTTTTCGTAAATACATATATATTATCTATACATAGAAAACACCCAGACCGTTACAAACAATCATACTCATGAATACAAATGTTTGCAGCGTGCGAGGAATCGAACCCTCGACCACCAAGCAGGAATCAAAGCAGTGTGCTAGCTAAATCGCTAGACTACCGACAACTAGCTGTACACTCGACTTCGTCCGCGTGGAATTTAACTTCTTATATTTTAGAAAAATAAAGTTAAATTCAACACGGACGAAATCCCGTGTACAGCTAGTCATCAATAAAAAAACACGTAGGTATCTCTAATATATTATACACTAGCTGTTCCCGCGACTTCGTCCACGTGGTTTTTAACTTTATTTTTCTAAAATAAAAGTAGCCTAAGTTACTCCTTATTACATCAGCTACCTGCCAAAAAAAGTCCCGTCAAAATCGGTCCAGCCATTTCAGAGATTAGCCGGAACAAACAGACAGACAGACAAAAATTGTAAAATATTTTATTTTGGTGTATGTACCGTATTTATATTCATATGCATGTAGTAAAAAACGGTTTTTTCTATATTACAAACAGACACTCCAATTTTTATTAAATGTATAGATGTATAGATTATTATTTATTTATTTATTTATTCATCCAAAATAATACAAATTGTGTAGGATAACGTAATAGTAACATTACAGTAAAATTTTGTCAACAACATAATAGCAACTTAAACATTAAATCTCGGTATATCTATAGACTAACTGGCCCCAGCGACTTCGTCCGCGTGAAATTTTATTTTATTTTTCTAAAATAACAGTAGCGTAAGTTACTCCTTATTACATCAGCTACTTGCCAAAAAATGTCCCGTCAAAATCGGTCCAGCTATTTCAGAGATTAGCCGGAACAAACAGACAGACAGACAGACAAAACTTGTAAAATATGTTATTTTGGTGTATGTACCGTATTTATATTCATATGCAAGTAGTAAAAAACGGTTATTTCAATATTACAAACAGACACTCCAATTTTATTTACATGTATAGATGTATAGATTAAAAAAAAAAGTAACAGTCATAAGGCTAGTCGTATGCCTAATATATATAATAATGTAATAAATTCATTTAAACAGAAATTGCGGGAACATTATTTAAATTTGTAACTTTTTTACTGTCCTTCTCCTTTTTTCACATCTTTCTGTTATATCCATATAGTTCTCTCTATATTTTCTGATTTTCTTACTTTCAATTTGAGACTGTACTTATAATTTGATTATCGGATCATTATGTATTTACTTATATATAATATTTATACATTTATGGGTTATATTTAGATATATATTTATGTATGTATATTGTTATTTTTTTATAGAAATGTATATTTTGCTTATCTTTATTATCTTTATAAATCTTTTTTTGACATTTCTTATTTATATTAGTGCACCGCCAATAATCTTTCGCTGCACCACTCATGGTTGCCTGGTAAATAACGCGGCAAATATTAAGTCCGCCACATGTACAAATTTTTTTGTGCATTAAAGTTAAAGAAATAAAAAAATACAATACTGTTTAATGAAAATGCGTGTTGTCTAGTGCTTTGAGATGTATCAAAATAAGGTCAACAAAAAAGTCCGTGATGGTATATGTCTATCTCTTAAGGATAACCAACAATAACCATTTTTTATCTTTTACATTTTACGGGATTTTTTTTTATCGTATGTTTCCCTTAAAATCATGTAAACTATGTTATAATGTCATAATCTAAAGAAATAATAATATTTTATAGTGACATATCCACTATAAAATACCAAAAAATAGCAATGTAATTCGTTACGCGCGAATCAGGTGTTATAAGGTCAAAGGTCGGTGCACCCCGCGTATTTGATAAATAGTGCTTCTCTGGATGTCTTTAAGAGAAAATGGCAGTATGTACGTGTATATGTACAAGTCCTTAAGTGTTAAGTTTTTCAAATGTACATACAGTAAAGAATAAATATTTTTAAGTACAGTACTTACGTACATTAATATAATACCTACTTTTTACTTGTATCTATTGTTATCAAAATTAAATTATAAGTTCTTAACTTGACCACGACTATGTGACCCTCTCTTGGCGCCAAAACGAGTGAAAAAATGAACAGCATACGACGACGACGCAGTACCTATAGAGTGGAGCAACTGCTTATTCAGTTTTATTCAACTATTTAGTCCCTCCACCGTTACAATGAATGGAGGCGGATATTACAATGTACGTAGCATTGCGAATATAAAATATCTAGATTAGGTATAATAAATTCATAATTCATAGGCCGTTACGGTATCAGAGCCAAAGTCTTCTTTCTTTGTTTATGTACTGTTAGATGCGACAGCGACTTTGTTTTTATATTACTATGTAATGATTGATATACCTAAAATAAATAAAATATCTGAGGTTTGGACAAAAATTCAAAAGGTACTTAATTTTTAAAAAGTATTTTGAAAATACCTATTTTGCATTTAGTATTTGAAATACAAAACACAAAACTATTTTTGTTTTTAGAGTGACATTTCTATGAATTCACTGTCGATAGCGAGCGGTGCGATGGAAAAAGATAACCGTTTATAAAAATATAATAAATAACCCTGGACAATTAACACAGACTGATACTGAACTGATATAAATAGATATTTTTATTTTGTAAATACATATATAATATACATATAAAACACCCAGACCGATGAAAACAATCGATGACCGATGAGTACAAATGTTTGCATCGTGCGAGAAATCGAACCCGCGGCCATCGGATGTAAAGCGGTGTGACCACCGAGGCAGTCGAAATATATAAATAATCTTATGAATTTAATTTATTCTAATTTGTTTATGTGCGCGGGGTGCGGTGTACGGTGCTCCCCCTGCCTCCACCGTTGCTGGAGCTTGCATGTATGGAGCATTGCGAATATAAAATATCTAGATTAGTAAATTCATAATTGATAGACCGTTACGGTATCTATATATATTCGGATTAAAATAAGTATCGCAGTAAGGACCAGTATATAAAGTGATCAACACAATTAACTGATTTTTGAAATATATATACAGAGCCAAAAAGTCTTTGTGTATTCAAAAAATATCTAATTTGTTTGTGTGCGCGGGGTGCGGTGTACGGTGCAGGGGGGACCCTGCCTCCACCGTTGCTGGAGCTTGCATGTATGGAGCATTGCGAATATAAAATATCTACATTAGTAAATTAATAAAGTCATAATTGATAGACCGTTACGGTATCTATATATATTCGGATGAAAGTAAGTATCGCAGTAAGGACGAGTATATAAAGTGATCAACATAATTAATTGATTTTTGGAATATATTCAGAGCCAAAAAGTCTTTGTGTATACCAAAAATTTAGCCGTTCGGAGCCATTCAGTCACGAATTATTAGTAAAAAAAGTGTCGAGTATATCGTACTATCGACGAATATATATGGCCGCATCGCAAAATAGAATGCGACGTTGCCATACCGCCTGAGATATACGCGATAGGAGTCAAGTTATTCAGTGCAAAAGGTGGAATCGGCAAGTGTTTATGTTGATCAACAAAGTGCCCAAAGAGGTGTTTATATATATATATATATATATATATATATATATATATATATATAACAAAAGATTTTATTGTTACTGAAATACACGCATATACGCGTGTGTGTGAAATACTGGTATTTTATGCGTAATTAAACAAAAATATTAGCATTGTGTGTGCACTCCTTCTCTACATAAAGTAGAAATGTGCGAAATTTCATATTACACTGTCCGCGCAATTTTAAAAAAGTTTTGCCTTCCGTATTTAATAATTAACACAAGTTTTGCTTAGATTGGGATTCGAACTTTTTAGGTTTATTACTATTATTATTATATTTAAGAATATGCATTGCGATGGCCTTTACCTAGAGACATAACCGTCATTATGGATATGATTCAATAAATTTGTAACGCACTGTCATGCACTGTCATTTCTGAGGACTTAGGTGTCTAGCCAATCACCTATGTGTATAATTTAGGTATCAATTGTTTGCATTTTTTTCTAGTCATTACTCATAATACCATATTTATACCACAGTTACCTTGTAGATAATAGATAAACAAATCAAGTATTCCTTTGGTTTACTTTAAAAAACACAATTATATATGTTAACTGACTACATTAATATTAAAATATCACATGTACGTGATGACAACAATTATTGTGTATAGACGTTGTTTGATGTTTTTCTCAAACATTATGGCATATTCTAGCCATACCAATGACTTAAAAATATATTGACGTGATTAGGATTTGAATTTACACTTCTTTTTTCGAGACCTCATAATATAGGAAGGGTAATATTTTAACAAAGAACATAACCACAACAAAGTTATTTCAATGCATGTAAGCGAGACGGGTATAAAAAGAGGTCATGCTATAAAATAAAACATAACTTTAGTAGAGGAAAATTAAACTTAAAAAATATATCATAATTTTACCTACTAATATTATGTACCTACTTTTTGTGCATTTCTTACTTTATTACAATTGCATTGTAATTCTAGGATGCTTGCTTTTGTTAAGACTAAGTGGGACGTGAAAACGCATCGGCACCGCTAATGCGTTTGTTTCAGTTCGCCGAAAGCATGATAAGCTTCAGGCAAAGTTTTGGTGTACGGGCGGGCGGAGGCTTCGTGGCTAGCGGGGTAAGGCACCGACGGCGAGGCGACGGCCCGAGCCGCCAGCATTTTATAAGCGCGCGTCTCCGTCGCGGCTGACACTCAACCAATTTCGCGTACTGCGGTAGGTCGTGCCAGTCGGCTCTACGACCGCAGGAACTCGTTCCCGCCGCGCGCACATTTTCTTTGAAATTTCGTGTAAATGCAAAGAAAAAAGTGACATACACGGAACCTTGGTGATATACGAGTGCGCTGTGTTTCATGTTTTCCGACAAAAGACTCTATTTTTTTATCGATATTTACGAAATTTCGTTAATAGATAGGGCTAACGTGATCGCATTAGTGAAACGACAAACAACGTTTCAAGTAAATAAAAGGATTACGTGAATGTTACCCGGGACCAAAAATACAGGTGAATACATTTTCGTTATATCTAATTTTTAAATTATTTAAGTTTTTCAGATATGCTTTTAATTTATCACTTATGCCTTATAAAAATGGAGATCTCTGAGGAGAAAAAAAAAGGATTCGAACATTGAGATGTATGTATTTAAGTTTTAAAAAGAATAGCCTAATTTCATATTATGCTGGATTTGGGGAGCACCTATGCATTAACCTTCATTTTTCCAATATATAACATAGTATCTTTTTTACAGTCTTTAAATTAAGTCATCTTAATAATTAATTACTGTAGTATATTGTCACATTAACTATTATAATAATACTAAGGAGATACTCGTATGTAGTAAATTTAATTAATTAATAATATAATAAGATACATAGAATTTTATATATCAATGAATGGTTATGAACAGTATTGATGGAAAAAAAAGTTTTTTTTCTAGGATATTGGATTTTGTTTAAAGATAAAGCAATTTTAACATAACAGATATGTTATTGTGTAAATTACACCAACTGCCATAAATATTTTCCTGTCTATTGTGAACGTCAGATTATGAAGGAAAATTACCTGTAGGTATGTAGTTTGTGGCTATCATTCATATCAGGTACCATCTACTCTATTTGTATATGTTTGAAAACTATTGATGAGTTTCATAAATATAGATTGCTTATGGAACTCAATTTAAATGAAAATTATTTTGATATAGATGAGCCAAATATGTATTATATATGTATGTATTATATAATACAATAACAATGATTGTAGTTTATAATGAAAATGCATTATGATTCATATAGCAGGAGCACAGATATTTTTAACTTATTAAAAATTACCAAAGTTCTACTATATATAATAAATATAAAATAAAAACTAATTAGTTATAACAAAAGCCAAGTAAACAAAGAAAATAATGTTATAAAATAAAAAAGATGCATTGAGAGATATATTTAAATCAATACCTAATTCTTTTGTTATTGTTATTCACAGCACATAAAGTAAAATACATATAATATTTTATTTTAGTATTATACTATATACCATTATTTCTTTTCAATCTTGAAACAAAAATGTTTTATCACAGAATGGAGTTAATATTTATCAGATAATTTCAACGGATAAGGCTCATCTTATCTATGATAACATTTGATAACAACCTCTTTCTGATGTCATATAACTATGTAAAGGAATTCCATTACAATTAGCAAATTATTGTGTTGTTCATAATAACAGTTTCAGGTGTTTTTTTAACGAGAATAGTTTTATAGAAATAACACAGAATCTCTTTATTTGGGTTGTGAAATATATAACGTCGACCCAATGCTAATTAGAAGAGAAATCATCGCTTGTTGATTTATTATTTTACGACCACTCGGTAATTTTACATTTCCACGACAAAGTCACACAGTATGCGTCAATTAGTAAAATAACTAGGTACCTACTTTAATAAATTGGTTCAATATTGTATTTTACGGTATTGTAAACAAACAAGTTCTTGGAACATATGTAGGTAGTCTAATGATAGTATGGTGGGAGCACCTATGAATGACTAACGCCTAGTACCATTTGCTATTGTCGTAGAGGACACTGAACTTGACACAAAATCATAATGGATGAAGTATTTAACCTAATTACATGTAACAATTTTGTGTTAATATTATCTAGTTCTAAATTATAATCATACTTTTAAAGTTCTAGGTTAGTATAGATATTTATCTAAATTCCATTATGTTCAAAAAGAGATTAATGAAACAATGGAAATATGAATTGTTGCTTTGATTACCCCTCTGAACGAATACGGATACTTAACTATTACTCGAATAATTAATTAGAGTCCATTTTTCATATTTATTTAAATACGAACGTGGTAGGTGTGGTATCATGATGTCCATTCTTTCATCTAACTATAACAAAATTGTATTAATACTAGTTTATAATATTTTTATATTGATGCTTAATTCTTCTTCTTGGTCTAAGTTGCACAATAGATAAAAATCCTTTCTTACTTACATTTAAAGAGATCACACTATTGTATTTTTTAAAGATATTCCGCAGTATGAAATATAATATGAAATATTCTATAAAAAAATCTAAGCATTTAGTATTCAATATGAGCAATGACATGCTATCACTGTCCCACCTGGCAAGACACTCGACTGGTACATTCATTTTAGGTTATTGTTATATACCTATATATTTTTTAATATCTTTGAATAATAGTGTAATAGTGTATATATATAACGTATGTAATATGACAAAAATCCCGTGCTTGAACAATTAACAGTGCAGTTAAAGACTTTACTCAATCAGAATTTCTTTATAATGGTGATGAACAATAGATATAAAAAAATAGATGAGAAATTTGTTGAGGTATCGAATACAAATGTCATCAGTAGTTATAAACTTACATTATTAGTATTGGCTGTGAGGAGTCGGAAGCAGGAAGACATGATCACGGTCGTTTCAATGCGAAATTGCACATATCATCGCATCATCGCTACGACAGTATTATTTATACTGTGAAACGTCGCTTTGGTTGCGCGGCATCTTCATTGAAATGCGTGTCATATGCCGCATCTCAAATAACACTATCATCATACTGAACAGACTTCGTGTAAAGAACAATAAGAATAGAAGACATTTATTCAGAATTACTTTGAAAGTTTTACAATAAATATTTTAACTGTTTTCGTCACTAAGTTAAAACCTACTCCGGTGGCGCTGATAATGACTTTCATTTAGTATGCGCAGTGTAGTATAATCAAGCTATACAATAATGCTTATTTTCAGTGCGGCCAATAGATATAAGACGGCGTTCATCCAGACAGCTAACACGCCACAAATAAAGCCATTTCAATTATAATAATAAAAAAATACTTACTAGTATTATAAATGCGAAAGTAACTCTGTCAGTCTGTAGCGCTTTACAAGCAAAACTACTGAACCGATTTAAATGAAATTAAGTACAAAGATAGTCTAGATCCTGAGGTAGGACATAGGCTACTTTTTAATAGGAATAAGGGTTTGAAAGGGGAGATGAAAGGGTGTATGTATCGTCATTTTTAAAGCTAGTAGAACTCTTTTAATTACCGGTAGACAATTGATATTTTGAAACGATGTGTAACGACAATAACACACTTTGTGTTTTACATATTATCCATACCTACATGTATCTTTGTTTTATTTACTCTCATTCTACTTACTATTATTTATATCGCATGAGAAATATTTGCTGTTTTTTAAAATCTTGTAGTTCAATGATCTATTTTGGAAACTTTATGTTTGTAATTCTTAAAATTCATATGTATGCATTACACGACGTGCCTAAGTAAAATTACGCATACGTACCTATAAGTCTGGAGTTTATGTGCTAGCTATGCGTTAGCTAGCTGTGCATAGCAGGCTAGATAATATTAACGTACCTATAATATTAGCTTAAACTAGCTTTTCATTATCAGAGTGACAAAGCAAAGCGACGGTGTGAAACTAGCGCTGTTGATAGTTTTAATCGATCTTTAAGTAAATTGTTTATGGTAGACACAATCATCGTTTACAAACAAATCGATTAGCTCTAATATGGTTAAAATTAAAAGACTTAATGACAAATCGATGCCAAAATTTACATTGCAATCAATGGTCAGCGTGGACAAGAGTGCTATAGAAAAAAAAGTTTCGGGTAAATAAAATTAGGTAACAAATTGGAGTCCAATGTCGCTAGTGAAACCGGCGGGGTTACCTCCGTACCGTCACGCTCCGGCAAGCGGAACATTGTTGGCGACACTTCTGTTTGTTTCGCGCTTTCAGTTTCTGTACGAGCCCAAATTAATTTGTCTATATGCCACAAAAAATACGGATATATTAAAAAAGTTTTACATTACATACCAGTCGATACCCGTGGTTTCGACTGCTCAAACTTTCTTCCCCTTCTAGTTTTTTTTGACATAAAAGATGGGATATGTCTGTTTTTGTAATACTGTTTATCTTCGTATGAAATTAGGCGATTAGTCGTGAAAAGATAAATAAACATAATTTAAAAATATCGATTTTACTAGAAGTTATAATACTTTGGTTTTAAATATAACATTACAAATTTAGTAGTACCTTAAATCTTCAGAAATATGTGACCGTCATAAGATTTACATTTCGTTTTTTAGTGTGTACTTTACATGTTGTAAATTACAATCGAGAGACTGATATGAAACTGATAGTGTGTATAACATGTACGCAATACTTGACATGCCGACATTTAGCTGGATATCCAAATTAATACGATTTTTTTGGTATTTTTCAATACCGGAGAATCAGCTAGATATAAATATATATAAATTAGCACAAATTTTTTATATTATCGGATTTGAACTCATGTCGGGTCTTTTAAAATTGTCGACTATATTTGAATAAAAATCATTAGGTTCCATTTACCTATATTTACTACGTGTAATGTGCTGCTGCATGGGGGCCACTGATTACAAGTGAACTTAATCATTGTAAGTTATGACAAATGTCTCGTTCTCGTTCTCGTTCCTTGTCTAATCCTTGTGCAGTCATATATTTGCTGTGGATTCAAAAAAACATACGTCCTAAACTGTGAACAAATATAATAGTTGTTTAATACTCAGACGTCTCGTCACTAGTATCAAATAGCGGAGATATCGAGGTCTATTAAGTTTGAGTTCGTTGATTTAAAATTAAATCTTTATTGTATAAATTTAGCATTTATCTTATTGTTAGGGTGACTTTGTAAAAACTCACCTGCACGTGTAACTCTGTCAACCTATTTCAACCGCCCAGTAGCAGTCTTTATACACGAAATACAGTATTTCGGCAGAAATTACAAGATAAAAAGAATGTCATTAGTCTTCTAGAATGGCAAGGCGGTATCCTGGGTTTCACATGATATCGTAATCTACTACGGCTGCTCATGTAAAAAGGGGACAATTACCACTTATCATTGCCATTCCAATTACATTAAAAGAAAAATATTGTACAGATTAATCATATTATAATTTGTATAGATATCTTAAAAACTGCTGAAGTATTAGTCTATGTTTTCATATGATAACAATGCTGCATGATATACCGGTACCTCACTTTGAGGAAGCTAACTGGGTCAACGGTCTGATTAGGTTTACTTTATCATATGGTATATACCTATGTGCCTACTTATAAATAGTAGTATTGTTGAGTTGTTGATAGATATGAAATCAATATATTCTTTTGTGTTATATTAGGTATATATGTAAATATGTATAGTATACCTATTATTTTTTTATTACAAAATGAAGGTATTTACCTGTTCTACATTTTCATACGGAATGTTAGCAACGGAAGCTGTAATTGACGTATTTCATATCGTAAAAACATTTCTACATGTTATCTTTTATTTTGATAAGAGATAGGTAGATAAAATAATGTAAGTCTTCAAATTTTAGATACATGTACAAGATACATAATAATAAATAAAAGTATTTTTTATCTTTACTGTTCTTTTTCATTAAAGAATTCATCGGTTTATTTTTAAGTTCCGGTAAAAATAGCAATACCTAGTTGCTTAGATATCCAGTACTTCGGGTAGGGACGGCATATTAAATGATAAATTATAATATTTATGTATAAAGTCATAAGGTCATAAGTAAATTGTATTTACATTTGAAGATCTTTGATTTCGTATATATCTGTATCATGAGTCACAGCGGATGTGATTCATCCGAGAGATCATGACTTTTGTAATGTCATCTAGTGCCTTTGCCAAGTAGCTAAGTAACAACAACAGCAATGGCATAACCCATGATTTTAAAATAATTTCGTATATGTACTTTATATATGAGGCATTTTATTACCTACATATATACGTATATAAAAATGAATACACTAGGACTTTGATAAATTTATAGCATTTAAATAATATTATCATTACAAAGAAATATTTTTGATAAGTATATGTATTAAAATGTATATAGGTAAACATTATTTTTTAATATAATGAGTATCTAATTCCATTATTAATTCTAATATACACAGTGATAATAAACATTATCATTAATTTGTTTCAGATAGCGTCGCTGCATCGTGACAATAATAGAAATAAATAAAGAAGATATTCATAACCGAACTGGTTTAGAAATATTCTACTAAATGTCGATTCCGTCCGTATCAAAGACATATTTTTTATAGATCAATTAAGTATAAATGAGCATAATAAGAAATATAAGTGGTAGAATACAAGCCAAAGAGATGGCGTCCAGTATGAGAAGCAGCTTAAGGATAATGTGGGGTGTGATGGTAGTTCTGACATATCTTACCAGGAGTAGTGCGGCACCCACCTTCGGAGGCCTCAATCAAGCGACTGTGAGTATATTATTTTGATTAAGAATAAATCGATATGAAAATATACCTTACAGCACGTAGTACCACACTGTGGTTTAACACACTGATTAAATTGAGATAATAAGCCTGGAATTTAATATCCGGGAATAGGTATTATTATTAAAAAAAACCACTCTGATTCACATCCTGTCAATTACGGATTCGACGTTCGTGAAATATGTTATTAGATATTAATTGTTTAAGATTCGTTTCATATACTATGAATACAGCTAATGACTTATGAATAATTGGAATGCAATATTTGTAAAGTCATGACATCTAAATACTATCGTACAAAATATAGGTTTTTATTGTTATTGACGTATACGTACACGATGTCGAACTGTACGATCGAGGCCATCCATTTTATTAACGTTAACTACGTTACTACACAGAAAATAAAAAAATTAAGTTATTTATATTTTAAGAATTAATCTCATTTTTGAGTATAAAATTACTATGTTTAATATCAGCACAGTCACCTGCATATGATTTCAACTGTTTGAAGAATGTAAGACCGTAAGACTAAAGATAAGACACTCGAGATAAAAATATGTCCATTATCAATAATGTCCCTTGTGTGATCTACTTTATAAAAAGTTACTTACAAGATATTTTCTTTTAGTAATAGTATTTATAATTAAATATTTTTTAAAGGAAGTATTCGCTATTTAGAAGTTTTAATTTAGGACTTATCCGACTGAATATGAGCTCATTTCTAGTCTAATATTGAAAAACTGATATCATTTAATAAGATACTCGAAAGTGAAACTTTTCAGACTAAAATATTTAAAAGTCTACGTATCAACCTAGTATACCTACATACAAATATTATGATACCATTGATTATTATTATAATAAACAATAATAAAATAGGTACCTATATCTATTTTGTTTCATAAAGGTTTATCTTATCATCAAACGGAATCGGAAATGACTCGCTTACGGTAGTGCTGTATCTGAGTCAGTGTTTCTTAGAACACCGCTCACCGGTCGTCTCCGAAATCACTTAGTTGATTCGAATAGTCAGCGTAGTAAGTAGGTAGCATATGTATAGTAGTCATTCATTCATAATTTGCGCTATAGACACCCAACCGAGATATAAGCGCTCCTTTTCGTAACCACTCGAGAGCAGCCCGTTTATTCTCTGATGTTGTTAGTATAATATCACACATGAATCATTTTACTGAGCATATACCACGGAAGACTTGGTCATTATAGTATTGAATGATCATTGCGTCATTACTGTAGTATTTGTAAATTACGATGTTATAAATGTATTATTTATTAACTCATAAAGCATGGAAACAAACTATTTTGAAATAGTATCATATAAAAATCAATTTTATTCGTAATATATATCTGAATATGTTCATGTCTAATTTACGTGTTTATATCATGTAGGATAAACTGATTAGGATGAAATTTGGTATATACAACTTAATAACCTATGGTTTATAGATTTCCTATGCATAATTATGATCACGTTAATTACAAAATAATGTATCACGTTTAGTAGTCTACTAAGGACTAAGTCCGTTTAGACTAAAATAAAGATTCTACGTCATTTATACTTGTTCATTCCCAGATATACATATTATATTTTGAATCGTCAGTAAATGTAATAAGGGGGGGGTTCCTAAGTGCGCTTTGTGAGGTCGATTCTTTAAATTAAAATTAAATACCACTTGAAACTTTGTGTATAATAATTTCAAGAGCATGTACAAGAATGTATCATTATAACGTAGTTCGATATCGCAAAAATATGCTTAAGATTTAAGATAGGAAATATTATTAGTAATTTTTAACTTTATGGGGTAGGTAATTTTGGTTCTTACTGTTAATAACGAGCTACTTTTTCTTATGTGATGATATATTTATTTAAATTTAATTATACTAAATAGATCTCTACTTAAATAAAATTTAAAACAAACATAATAAACATAAATACACCACCACCACTATTAAGTAGTTCAATTATTATCAGGTTGATTGTCATATGAAGTGCAAGAATATACAAAGGTAAAAAATCTTTCGTATACGAAAGGACTTACTTTAACTATTACATAAAAGATTCGAATGACTCATTAAAATGTTGTTTCTTGATGTTGATATTACGAGGAGCAGAATAAAACATTAATAAAATTTCATCGTTTCTCGGAAAAGTCAGTTGACTGATCAGCTTACTACGCATGACTCACTCTACCAGTCGTAGAGCCTGTTTACCGTCAAGTTCTAGGTCATAGAGCGCCGACCGTGTTACGGTAGCGTTGTATCTATTCAATAACTTGTGTAAATATTCTTTAGCGTTACTCGTTGTCTATACTTTCTAATGTGACCAATAATTACTTAACGGATTTTGTCACTTAAACCTAAGGAACCATTTGTATATATTGCATAGAAATTACTTGTAGAAGCAAAGTTCTGCAACTTTGCTTCTACAAGTAATTTTAAAATGTTAATTTAATATCAATAAAGTCTGTTTCCTAATTCTATAGGTATTGTAATTGATTCGTTCTTTTTGTGAGAAATAATTTGGAATAAATAGCCACAGCGATGTCAAGGTGAATTTTCGTTCCACTAACCCGACCCGTTTAGACTTTCGCAGCGTGAACCTGATTGTTGAATATTACGAAGGTAAATTTATTTATGTGCCTTAATTTATGCTACAGCTGGTATTGTATTTATTATAGTAATATACTTTTACTGAAAATATAGAATGTAATTCCAGTTTTTGCTTTCCATTATTACATATTAGAAGTGACTTGGGCTCTTTTATTGTGCTTTTTAATTACTATATTTCAACAATTCCGTTTTAATGTATGGTCATCTTCTCAAACTAATTGTTGTATAACTTAAGCTACTACATTTTGATTATACATTAAGGAGATGTACGAAATAAGTATTATAGTAAGATAAAAATATAATAATAATTAAAAATACTGTATCGTATATTATATGTATATTGGCGATATACATATATTTATATCTGCATATATGCGAGTATTTTAGGCCTTAGGTGGCGAAAATGCATCAATCAATCAATACGTAGCATCTAAAATCCAATAACTATTGTGTAACCAGACAGTGCATAAATGAAATATTGAAATGCTGAAATCGTTACTAGGATACGCTCCGTTGCAGGCAAATGTCGTGCGTACCAACATTAACCCAAGTCACGAAACCGCAGTCGCTTGATAAGTTAAACAGATTCCAGCAGGTTTCATTAAAATATATGTACATGTCAATGCACCTGTATGCCACGTGGCTCTATGTACGCAGAGCGACATTGTCATGAGCAAGGTATTTCCTGTCATTTTAAATAGGTTCTGTTGTGCTTAACGTACCCTTATACACGGGGTCATTCTCCTGGCTGATTTGCGTTTAGAACAATGGCCTAGCCAGAAAGTGCCAAGAACCTGTGATGTTCTTTGTCTCCATTATTAATACACGACACGATTAAGTTGACATAAAAATTCAAGACATGTCCTACGACAGCGATCTTACTTAAAATGTTCTAAATCAATGTTGTTTATTTAGGAAACAACGAACTTTAAAACAGTTGATAGAATTTCTATCAACTGTTTGAACCTATTTGTTTTATAAAATAAACGAAATAAAAATGCCACTGAAAATAAAAATAGGTAAAATTCGGTGTATATCTTTCTTGTCGATACTTTAATATTTTATGAAATAAAAATAATATATTATAAGCGTATGTTATTTAAATTACCGAATATAATTGTTATAATTATATTTTGAAGTCAAAATTTGAATAAGAGAAACACAATATCAAAAACATTTACAATTGCTAAGAAATTATCGAAATCAGTTCGATTTTAGGATAGGAAGAATATATCTTAATAGAAAAAAAGAATACTATAGAATTTATTAGTTTCTACCTTTGACCGTCATTTAATAATTAAGTTTCTAGGAATGCTGTCATGAATATTATCACTTTTTATTAAAGTTATCATTATATAATGAATAAAATAACATTTACATGTTATAATAAGTGATTTAGTTTCTGATATTACACTTACTATGAAGCTATGTCAAGGTGGGTCAACATAGCTTTGTAACAATCATTTACGCTTGAAATCAAGAGATAAATGGTGTATTTTAGCACGCAATGTGCATCTAACTGTCAACTAAAAGCCGACCACCTCCTGATAATGTTGTTTTGGATGGTTAAGAAGTAGATACAGATAGATAATCTCTAAATCTCACCGCCAGTCGACAGGCCCTGAGACAAACATGTAGAAAAACAAAATATTTTTAGCTCGCAATGTGGTCATCCCAGTGTCTTTAACCCTAGTCACGTGTGAACGTAACGAAAAGTCGTGGTCCTGAGAAACGATTATTTTTATAAAAGATTAGAAAAACAGATTAACTGTCAGTCAGCGTTTAGTTTCACGATTTTAAGAGAAAAACAAGAGGAAGCCTGTCATGTGTCTATTTTGTTAGAACTGATACTGGTTTTAAAGGTTGCTTAACCGCGGTTATCTCATACTAGGATAACGTTGTCATAAAAAGGATGGCATGGCCACGTTATATCTCCCGTTTTATGACATATACACATTGCTCATAGGACAATAGCTTTTGTAACCTCGAAAGTGGGTACAACAAAGACAAAAAGCGACCCGGTCACCTTACTAATACCGTAATTTTCAAGAGGTTCTTAGAGATAACGGCTTCTGTTCTATTTAATCATATTAGACAACTGTATACAAAACAGATTATTTTTTCTGTTGGGTGGAAATTGGCAATGATGTTTTGTGGTGATGGAAAGAATGAGATGTGCATCTGTATGGTGATGATGAACGTAGGGCTTGGCAATGATGTTTTGTGATGATGGAACAACTGAGATGTGCGTCTGTATGGCGTGATGAACGTAGGGCGGTTAGTCCGGTGCGTATGCGTGTCACGCACGCAGGAAGCCTGCGGCGACCTTCAACACGCGCGCCATGGCCGCTGTCCAC